CAACCTTCCCGTCAGAAACTAGCTAGCTAATCAGCGCGCTGGGGCCGTCAATCGACAAGATTGCCAATTTTTGTACTGGTAAATATACTTTAAGGTTACTGTACTTGCATGGGCAACAATTCCATAAGCGCTGTTTACGAAACTACACCGTATAAAGCTTCCTCAAAAGCTAGTATTGTTTTGGCTACTTCATTCAGTGAGAGAGAAATTTGGAGGTCATTGAGGGTTGTAAATATTTTATTACAAAGAATTATTTAAAACTTTACTCATTTATCTTTTCTTGTAAAGATGTGAAATGACGCAAGTACGAGAAATTCCCTGAGACTGCTTTTCGTCCTTTTACGGCTTACTACCTAACTGCTTACGAAGGGCGAAAGCGAGAAAAAGATTTTGTTTATTGTGAATAAAACAAGCCATAAAACCCTCTTTGTATAATTTGTTCTTTTGAAGTTAGTCAAGGTTTCATTTTGACCAAAGTCTAAAAAATGCAGAATTGTAATTGCCTTGAAGGGCTGTAGTTGAACTCTTTAAAAACACATGTAACCAAGGAACACAAGAAATGGGAGGGAAAGACGGTCTAATCAAAAAAACTTAGTTTTTCACTCTTTTTTCATCTTAAATGCCTTAATGGCCATGCTGGCAGGAGGAAATAGTTGTGATCTAATTTGTTACCAGTGAATAAAAATTAAATGAAAATTTGATTTATTTAAAAGAATTTGGCCAGATGCTGAGCAAGGCTGAAACCATCCGTTGTTGTTCATGAAAAGCAAATAATTTGTTTGCTTTAACTCTTGCCCTTTTTTCTTACCAACTCAAACTTTTTGGGCCCGGAGCACCGAATAAGTAGAAATCTATGGAGGGAAAGCAAAATGTATTATTCAGTATGGACGAATACTAACTTATTGGAGACACGTTTGGTCGACTAAAGAAAGTGGAGGATTCTCAATTTCCCTGGGAGGAAAAATGTGTTTGTGCTTCTCTAATACGGCCAGAAAATTGTGAAGCTCTAGTTCTTTTCTCGTGTCCTTATATTATGCTTCTTGTCGGAGTTGCATGACAGCCTTCGCTCGTTTTTTCTTCGGAAAAGTGAACTAAAAGCAAAAAAAGTAAAGATGACAGGAAATCCCGTCAAGTTGAAATTTGAAAGACTTTGGTTTCTAAGAGCAAGTAGTAAAACAAAAGTTCCATACAAAAGATGGATGGGTGCTACTTTGTCGTTTGATGCAAATCACTACTAGGTAAGGAACACATCTAAACTTTTTTTGCTTCATTTATCTGTTCGTGCTGATTGATCTTAACCGCTGCAACCATGCAAGCCCTTGAATTTCACTATAAAAATTTCATTCTTAGCTCGCTACCCTACTTTTCCAGTGCAGTTTACTATGAAGGAAAACAGCTTGTATTCATTTAAAGAGGTTTAACTTCAAACCTACTTTTAATTGAGACTTCAGAATTATGCCTTTATGCAAAACACATTAAAAACAAACGATAGACAGCTTCCTGGATATACGGTAACAACAGTGCCTGCTGAATGGAACATACCAAGAGACAGGTTCGTTGCCATCTTCCTCTCAGTACCACTTACACTCAAAAACTTCATCCACCTTAACTCTAAGGCAGAAAAACTACATCCACGGACACATTTAATAGAAGTTAAATTAGCTGCAGCGCATTGGAAAGATTTCTTTTTTCATTCGTTTATCTCACAGCATCGGAGTCGCTTAGTAAAACCCACAAATTGAATTGTGATGAATCGTTCTTTTTTGCAGAAAAACCAATTTTTTTTTTGATATAATAACTGATAATGGCTAAGATTCGCGGCCGTGAGGTACTTTTCACTTTAAGAAAGAGTATCCTTTTTGCATTTAAACGTATCTACCTCTGGATAATGATTTGCGCTGTAAATCACGGTCTCGCATGTTACAAAAGACTGAAAAAAAAATGGAGAGCTTTAGGAACTCTGGCCTATAATCTGTTAAGTGGCGTAATGCTTGTCATAATTTTAATTTATGCTCTTAGCCAAAAAGTTGAATATGGGCCTCCTTTCTCTAATAGTTCATGGATATCCTTCCAAGGATGATATTTGGTAGTATTGACAAAAAGTAAAAAGGTTTTTGTCGAGGGGAATAGCTGTTTCAAAATCAGTGATGATTCCCATTTTTCTTGACCACTTTTCTACCGTTATTCCGTTCCTCATACTGTTCTGACAAAGAAAAAATAATGGAGTAGAACGTAAAAATAGTATACATTTCATCGTTGTTTAAAGCCAAGGAATACTATGAACAGTAGAAAGAGGCATTAACTGCACTTTGGGAAAGTCGTTACTTTATTTGTTTGGCTAGAATGAGCCTTTCTTCAGAAGATTTGCGAAAAAAGCTTGTCTGCTTTAGCAACAAGTTTTAAAACTTCTTTTCGTTTAAACTTCAAAAGTCGTTTTTAGTGTTCCTTTTTTTTTCTTGCTTTTCATACTGTTTTGCATTTTCTTTGATTTGAAAAAAACGGAAGCGCTTTTGGAAATTTTCTTGCATTATCTTTAATTGCATCAAAAAAGACATTGAATGTTTCAATATATGCATGTATGACAAATGAAAAAGTCGGAAATCAGAAACCAATGATTGTCAGATGACAAAAAGGAATTTCAGTTTTTAAAATTAACCACTTGTTATCATCAGTATCATTAATATTTCCGCCTTTACTGTCGTCATTATTATTACATTTTTACTAGTACTGTTATCGTCATTATTGGCTAATCGAAATAAAGATATCTTGTGTTATCACAAATTAACGCGTTGATCAACTGCTTTAGTATAATCAGTTTTTTTAAAAATCATGTGCTGTTTTTTTATTTTTACTGCCTACTTACTTTTTCACTGTGTCATTGTACCGTAAAAATTGTATTTTTGAATGAATACAACAAGTTTATTTACATCTTAATCCAGAGCTAAGCTAGTTAATCAGTGGTTCCAAAATAAAGCATTTAAGGGTTAGCGATTTTTGGTAAGGAGCCCTCTTCCATTTCAGGAACTCACGGGTTATCGAAGTCGCTGATACTTTTGTTGGGCTAAAAAATGCTTTGACAGGTAAATTGCAAAACGTTATTCATGAACTTTTATTATTTTTTGTATTTAAAAAAAAAAAAATTAAATTTACATGTATACTACAGGGTAAAATAAAACAATGGCGCAATGGCGTACATTTGCGATCCAAGTAATAATATGCTAAACAGTTTTTTGATTCCCAAAAGTAATACCTACCTTTGTTCTCAAGGTATTCGTTATGGCGGACGAGTAACTATTGAAGAGGTTTTGGACAGCATCTTTTATGAAACAAAGCCAAACACTGGTCCATTCGCTTTTACGGATCCTGAGATAAGGTCGGTTGTAAACAAAGAAGGAAAAGGTTAAATAAACCAGTCTTTTCTGTAAAGAGGAGGCAGCAGTGTTTACTGCTTACTTCTCCAGAAATATTTTATGTATTCATGAGAAAGATTCAACTGATAGCCGGAAAATGGAAAATAAGAGAGCCAAAATAGGCAGTATTTTCTAAACGATAACTGCAGATGTGTTCAGCGTTTCATCTATTTAAAAGGTCAATTTTAGTTTACCGCCAATGGAAAATGATGATTTAAGTTTTGATTGGCCTGGCATCTATACTAAAGATTTGGATTTGATGAAACAGATTTCCCATGATCCTGTTGAGGCTGAGAAGCTTCTCCGTGTAAGCCACTCTAAGTTCTTTATTTATCAAATCTTCGATAACTTATTTTTCAAAGCAAATCAAAAATTCTTATAGGATTGCAGTGGTATTGCCCTTCTTTAGTTTCTCGAATTTTATTGGCAACTCCTGACCATTTCTACGCTATTTTGATTTTGTCATCCATGCAATCTATTCAGTTCCCTTATTTGTTGTCGTCGAAATTATATGTTTAGAAAAAGAATAATAGTAAAACAAAAAGGAAGAAACAAAAAAAATTTTCCGCCAAAGAGCAAAAATTCTCGAACTCGTCAGAAAATTGGATGAGTGGCTTCCATCTTTGCTGCAGAATGAACGTCTCTACATCCGGTGTGCTCGATGCCTTCAGACTCGAGAGCTATCCTTAGCTCGTCCGCAATACCTGTCCTGCAAGCACTGTTACACCTACTACTGTTGTCGCTCGTGTCGTGAACTAGACTGGCCGCAGCACTCAGAACGATGCTCATTCGCACGTATCAACACACTGTGTAAGGATGTGATCGTAAAAGTAAGACTTTACTAACTCTTTCGACAGGAACGTTTCTTTCGAGTGGTTGATCGGCATCTGCTTAAGTCAGTACTTTAGAGGGCGATTAAATTTTTAAAATTGGTCCCGAATACTTATAACTCTATTAATAAGACTTGCTTTTGGGAGCAAAATCTTTTCTTCTTTCTTCTCAATTTGTAGTTATTCCTTTTTTTTTTTTTTTTTTTTTTTTTTTTTTTTT